CTTTATTATTTCCACCGGTCTTAACTCAGAAAGTAGACAACACAAGGCACTACAATCTGAATCGTCCTCAAACTGTTAAAGAAATACATCAAATTACTAACATTTCATTTCGGTAAATGAAGATTAACCAATATAGAGAGAGAATAGCGTACAGGATGATAACAGGGTTCCTTACAAAACTAAGGATTTTTAAATAAATACAACTTTGGAAGCTTTGTTGTACCAAGGGTCCTTCAGTTTACTGGCAACAGAGAACCCCAGACAAGATTTTATCCAGAGTAGACAAGAACATTTTTGGCAGACCTAATCACCTCACACATACTACTCTTGAATGTTCTTGCACGTATTTTCATGGCTAAACAAAACAAGCTGCTTCCAAACAAGCAGGTAATCACATTAAATTAACGCGCTGTCAACACAAAAGAAGAATTTTAGACAAGATCATTGATAAAGTAAATAAGGAAAAAGGTGATGCTTATGCTAGAAACCTAAATAGTGTATGGTGGGGTTAAGAGAGAGTGGAGAGGTTTGAGGAAAGGAAAGAGAACCAATTAATAAGGTTAGGAAGATGGCAAATCCAGGGAGCGAGCCAACTAATGCAGACACGAGATGGAGAAGGTGCCAAGTTGGTTGGACTTTGGAGAATATCAACATTATCACTGGTGGAACTTGGAATTAAAGATATGAAGGAAACTTCTGTTTAATAGCATTCCAGTAAAGATTGTATTATATAAACTATGGTGCTTTCCTTTCATTAATTGATTAGCCAGTTATATACCCTTAGCCTGTGAAGTGCACACATCACTATATGGGAAGGTTGATCAAAACTAATTCAGGTTCTAGTGAACATCTCATGAAGCTAATCAAGATTTGCAGAAAACTATCACCCACAGAAAGCAACCTTATAGAATCAGACTGATTGACAGCAATCATGCTACACATGACTAGCAACAAAATAGCACAAAACATTTTACCAATAAAACTAAATAAAATTCATAAGCTATTGCCCTGTACCTGTCCAATAATAATCTTGCCCGTGCTAATATCAACCATACAGACACCATAAGTACGCTTCCCCTGTTGGAATGCAGCAGTTAGAGAGCTTTCAGTCACTGCCATCAAATATGAAGCATCAGGGTTTGCTGCAAGCATTTCTCCCTCAGTTAATGTTCCTTTAGTGACTACTGCACATATTTCACGTCTGACAACCTGGAATGGGGTTTGATGTGTCAGCTACAGAAAGAACTGAGAAGGAAGTAAAATTGTCATCATTATGACTGCTTCAATCTTATGTAGCACAATAATGACCTTATCTTTAGATCCCATCTCTCTTCTACGATTCTCAAGCTGTTCAGGTGTCTCTGTTTGCTCAACCACAAGAACCCTATAACCCTGTTCCATCAAAACAACTCATAGTAAGATCCTTGCCATGAAAACACAAGCAATCAAACTAGCATCGGGAATATAACACGGCTACTGAACATTGAGCGATTACAACCTTCCGAGCCAACTTTTCTACATTCATTGAGAAGTTCTTTTCTGGAAATCCACAATGTGGTTGCTCTCCCTGGAGACACAGGCAACAGTCAGCTATAAACTTTACTTCAAGATGCACAGAAACTTAAGAGTAAAATTGGAATATCCTATCGCAAGGAACAACCGAGAAGGTTCTACCTTAAAACAGAAACATGCAATTTAGTCACAACATGATACAGAGCATAAACCACTCCCTTCCTGAACAGGAAAAGTAAAATGAAGCATAAAAGATGCATGCTTGGCTCGCTTCCTTTTCTCTTTTAGGCATATCTACACATTGATGACCAAATTGTTTTTATCCTTTGTTATCTTTCATTTTTCTGTTGGGTGCATAAACTCAAGTTACCTTCATATACTGCAGATGAAGTTCCTGGGCTCCAACGTGTGCATCCATCTCATAAAGCTCATAGAATTTTCCCATCTGATTCATAATTCATGGAATACTTAAAATCATCATATAGAGGACAAGTTGAAGAAGAAGAGATGTAAAGGCTGCAAAACAACTTCAGTGGCAAAAAGATTGAGCCTTCAATAAGCTGCCACCATCATTACCTTAAAAAACAGAACTTTATCCATGTGCTTCGACTTGAACTCCCACCATTGTCTCTGAGCATCATTTACACCATTTAAGTACTCACTCTGATAGGGAAAAGAATTCCAAAGATATCTAACCAGGAGAATCCAATTACCTGACCACCAGTTAAACCTTTTAAAAAATTAGGAGGTAGGTAGATAGTCCTTGGATCATAATTGGCGTCGCCTGGGGACCTCCTATTTGCATCCTTTCTATCTCTGTTTCAGCACACAAGAAAAATTCAGAAATAGGCCATAGCAAGCAAAATGGTAAAACATCACCCATTTCCACCTAGATCAAATAAAACAAAACAAAAAGTGAACAGATCTTGCTGGAGTACTTACTTCCCAAGGAATGGGAATTTCTGTGTTTCACGTTGTCCAAATCTATCTGCTGCACCACACAGCAATACATTGTCATTGTTGGATACCTTGGCACCTGCAGGGCAACAGAGCCACCTCAATTTTATTTCCTAAAACATTTAAGCATTAAATTTTTCTTGTAAACCCTAACACCTAGGCATGAAATTTTAAATTAATACGGTAACAAACTGCAACATTGAAAGTTATTGACCAATTAGGCAACCTTGTTCCCGCCTTACTACAAGTTCACATTTTCATTTGGATCCAACCACATATAGTCCAGATTTCCCCCCTTCGTTTTTGTTCTTTTGACAAGTGGAAGTTCTCTCATTTCCAATCTTCCCCTTCTAGTGTGTTTCTTTTTGGATTGTTTCACACTTTCCTCGCAAGAATGACCATCTTTGGTAAGAACAGCAAACAATTCTTTTTGGCTCAATACAAAGTCAAAGAGTCATAATATGTCATACATATTTGGGAAAATGATACTCATGGTTTAATATGCTCATGTGAAAGGAAAAATAAACATTCATAGCAGGGCCACTGTAATATAGGAAGCAGATACTTAAAATGACAGTTATTATCATAGTACAACACCATAACCGCCAAGTGTTCTAGAGTAATCAACAAGTAAACTGAACTTAATAGGAACACAAAAGATGCAGGTTCAATCACTTACAATCCTCATTGGTCGCCACATACTCTTTTCCATTTACTCCAATCACAGCAGAGTGCATTTTGCTATCAGCACTCCTCTTATCTGCAACAGTCTTGCTCTTCTTGCTCGAACTCGGAGTTAACTTCTCCCCTTCAGGAGTTTTCCTCTTCCTCGCCACCACCCTGCTCCCACTCACTTTCCGACTTTTAGGTCCAACAACATCATCATCTTCTTCCTCAATCTCCAAATCCATATCGTCGGAAGCATCCTCACCTTCAGACACTTGTTTAGCAGCATCTTTTCCCCAATCTTCATCCTCAGAATCATCCTCAACACTCTTTAAATCCTCCAATTTCTCTTCCTCCTCCTCTTCCACCACCGAAGATCTCCGCAACCGCCTCAACTTCCTCACAGGTGCCTTCACCCATTCAATTTTTTCTTCAGCTAAATCAATCATTTCCTCATCACCATCATCATACTTAACCAAATGCTCACCAGAACTACTGTCAAAAGACTTCACACAGCCTTCATACCATATTTTATCCAACGGCCAGTAAACCTTAACTCTTTTGTCCACTACCTCTTGTCCATATGATGGCTTAAGGTCAACAACGGCTGAAATAGGCACAGTAATCTTCCGCTTTGCGTTTAGAGGAGAAGGAGTCGTAGGACTAGCACAAGGACTGGTACTAGGACTAAGATTAGGTTTACGTTTAGTATTAGGGTTAGGGTTAGATTTTTCTGGAATTTGTTTGGGGAGAAGAGGTGAAGGAGAAGAAGAAGACGAGAGGGTTTTGGAGAAGAAAGAAGTGATTTGGCTCTGTTGATTGACTAACGGTGATCTGCCATTGCTGGAGCGGCGAGAAGAAGCCATTTGTGGCAATGTAGAAGCAAATAGTGGAATGAGTGAGAAGAGTAATGAAGTGTACTATATATATATATATATATATGTATTGCTTCTCCCAATGGCGGGAAGAGTGAACGTTGAGTGCCACAGTTGGCGGGAAGCCCTTCTTACTGCTTCATTAGAGACTGCATATGTTTTTTCTTTTTTTGAGGGAAAGGTTTAGTCATTCTTATAGTGTCTTGCTTTTGTTTATATTGTATATAAGATTATTGCGTTTGGATCATATTTTACTGGAGTTGTGACGCATTGAATTAATGGACTTCAAATACAAATACAAGATATTGAATGAAAAATAAAATAAAAATACATCCAAGGAAGAGGTCACCACATTTCATTAGCTCCATTTTTTTTTTTGAAAAATCACTTGGGGTTCATTTGGTTTGCAAATAAGTTAAATCGTGTCTATAATATGATGGTTTAAATTTTAATGATTAAAAAAATTATTTTTAGTAAGCTTCTTTTTTTAAAAAAAATAGTTTGATCATTATATTAAAAATGAAATACATCAAGTATAGTATAAAATGTGTGTATGGTTTTATATATATAACATATAAATGATACCTTTTTAAATTAAAAAAAATGACTTGGAATTATTAGCCTTTAAAGGACTTGGGAAAAGATCTATGGAGAAAGGTAAGTCATTTGATTAGTTTGTCACGGGATAGTTAATTACAAGATTAATTTTTTATATTAATGTTGTATAAAATTGATATCAAAATAGTGGTAAGACCACTAACGGAATTGTTCATATTCAACTAGACACGGAATTATTTCCATCCAATGAGTTAATACATAGATTGAAAAAAATATGCTAAACAAGGAATTAGTAATACCAGAACTAATACAAGCATTATTTTCTCTTGTTGCTGGGCTTGTATGTAATGGATTAAGCTGTGCTTACATTCAATTTTCATTCAGGAAGTTTGGCTATTCGAATCGAAACAACAAAGGACTGACTGAATCTCAAAGTATAGTAAAAGTAAACAAAATAATCCTGTTTTCTGAGTAACATTCTCGAGAAGAAACATGCAAAAAAAAAAGAATGCCCCCTCTCTGTATCTCCACATAGTATTTCTACTTGGTGTAAACTGTACTCCAAACCCCCCAAAATAATACAACAGACAACTCTAGACTCTGAGACCAACCATTTCCAGAGCCCAAGCACTGAAGATCCATTCCACAAAATTGGATCCGCCAGGCAGTTGGAAGAAGGAAAGAAAACTAATAAGCTAAGGAGAAGCATGCCCTCATAAATTTGATAATTTCTCGGTAAACCAATCTAAAAGACGCTTCATTTTCAGTGAAAGCTCTCTGTTTTTGGCAAAGTAAGCCTCACCATTTGCTATCATCACAGAGAAATCATGCTTCATTGCTTTCAAGCTTCTATAATAGTTGTTCTCTAACCTTAACCGGATTATTTCAGGTGATAGAGGAACAGGGAACCTGCAAAGGGCAAATCATTTATCGTGTTGGGTCCATTAATAATTGTGCATGCCAAGCGAAAAAGTTATTATAACAAAACATCCCCCCCACCCCCCAAAAAAAAAAAGGAGGAGGAAATTGAAACCCCTGCAAAGTATAAAGAGAATATAATAAAGAGGAACATAAGAGGCAAACTTCTAACTTCTTATCTTCTCTTTTTAAGGGAGGAGGGAGGGGGGAAATCTGAGTACGATATGGAATTTCTTCAACTTCTTCAAAGTTCAAAGAAACACAATTAATTTAAAAAGAGTACCTATTCATGAAGTCCAGTTTCACAGCAACATGTTTCAATTTTAGAATCCCAAAGTTATCCTGTAACATGCATAACAGGGTCAGCTCTGATGCTTTGACCTACAAAGTTCAATTGTTAATTTAAGGCAAGACAATTTAAAAGATTGAAACCTGATTTCTGCTTGCTGACTGCAGTAGTTCAGTGACAGATGACAACACTCTATTTTTGCTTTCCAAGTCAAGTTGAGGTTGCTCCCATGAACTATCTACATCATGTAGTTCCCAGGGACTCTGAGGATGGGGTTCTACTTCACCTTCGTATAGGATACCACATCTTTCCCATGGACTATCAGGAAACTGGTCAGACTTGGCTTTCACTGAAACTACCTCACCTACCCACCACTTACCACCTTGCTCACTCTCATCCTTCCACCAAACCAGACACTTATCTCCATACGACCAATTTCTCTCCATTGCAGTCTCATACCTTGATCTCTCAATTAGAAAGTCAGGGAAGTTGACTAGTTCGGGCAGTGTAAGCTTAAACTTCTGTCCAGAGACAGGGGAAGAGGAATCTATGAATTGAAGTGTAACTTTACAGCAGCTCTCACCAGAGCCAGGAAGAGTTGCATATGAAAGATGTTTTACCAAGCAAATTTCCACAGCTTGGACTGCAGCTGCATTCTTTGTCCAAGGACCAGGCTCTGATGAATCACTATATTCTATATATTCTTGATGCCCCTAATGTCAAGAAATACCAAGTGTAAATCAAATAAAGCTTAATGACTCGATTTGGAAATCACTAATGCAACAAAGAAAATATTACATGAAAAAACAAAATGCGGTAAAAGGAAAGAAGAGGCAATGATTAACCAATAGAAACTAAATAATGCACCTGTCGGAAGTACACTACTTCATCACCTAGCTGAGGAATGTAGCGGTAACCCTCTTCACGCTCTGACAATAGCAACCAATTCAGTTTTTTCACTGCCTCATTCGAGCTCATTCCAGATGAAAAAATATTTTCATCCCTGGAAGAACCCTCTTTAGTGTTTCTAGATGACCGGCACTTGAACACATTACTTGAAGTCCATCCTAATGGCGGAGAACCAGTAGCCTTCTTGGTTAGCTTTTCGGTGTTTCTTGATGAACCTACAGCTACATGGCTCTCTCTTATTTTTAGGTCATCTTTCCCGAATGCTGCGTCTCTTGACATTGCAGTAAATCTTAAGGATCTCTTTCTACGTGCTGCATCAGTCGCGGCATGAGGGAATTCAGAACCTGTTTCGTTATGATCATTACAAGCATTAGAAGCACTTTCACAAATATCATGACTGCTACGTAAACCGCTTCTAGATCCATGAGACTTGTTTCTGCCAACAGAATCATCCATCAGTACACCCCAATGCAAATTCTGACTGAATCTATCAGGGCCATTACCTGTTTCTGGAACTTGGTTTTGTTCCAAATGGGAAAAGATTTTAGATGTTGATTCATCTCCACAATAAGCATCTGTAGGAGGATTAAACTCAGAATGAGTTTGAGACTCCCTGGACATTTTCTTTGATTTTATCTTTATTATGGTTGGCTTCACTCTAGGTTTGAGGTTTACTTCAGGATTGTCATCGGTGGTAGTCAACTTGTTTGCACCAGGACCAACACCTATTTGCTGCAGCTGATGACTGGGTGATGATGACAAGTGCAATAATGAAGAACTTTTAGCAACTCCTGAGAAACACAGTGCATCTCCAGGACCATTTCCAGCCAGCAAACTGCTAGCCTCAGATTGTCCCAGATTCGTTTGAGCCTCGGCCATTAAATTATCGGCCAGAGCCAGATTTTGGAAATCTGGACCAGCAGAAGGTTTTCTATCGACTTGCTCATTTAAAACATCTTTGGCCTCCTTGTCATTAACCATATGTTCAGTTTTACTGTATTTCCCAAACAGCTTCATGCCAATCTTGTCTGCAGAGGATGATCCTGGCTCCTTTAACCTTAGGTTCACCACATTATCTTCAATTATCTCTTCACCAGCTTGAGAAGAACATGGCTTATCAGCTTGATCACCACACTGAGCTGCAGTGTCTTTTGATAGCTCAAGCTTATTAGCATCACGGATTTTCAATTTCAGGACCAATCTCCTTTTGTTCTCGCCGTTTGTCAGAGGTTCAGTGGATTTAGGAGGCACATCGATAGCTCCACCTGTTGGATAGCTCCGCGGTGTGCTTGTCAGTTTGTCATCAGATGCAATATTCTGATCGCTTGACCAACATTCTAATGATTCAGTTTCCAATGAATCATCCTCAGAGCTAGCTTCATCTTCATCATCTGAAGAAATGTCATATTGCTGATATACAATTTCAGGATGTGCAGCTCCATGGTGAGATCTGAATGACTTTGGTTTAGATGACTTCCTTTTAGTGGTAGCTTTCTGCCCATTTCTTGATTTCCTAGTTCTAAGACTTCTACATGAAGTGCCAACATCATCATCCTTAACTTTCTTCCTAAGACGCCTTCCAGATGATGCGGCTTCCACCTGAAAAAGATGCAAATGTTGCTCAGCCAGGGTAAGCAAATAGGTAATTTGTTTGTGAATGTAGATGCTTACTTCTGATACAGATATTTTCCTTTTTGATCTGCGTAGGCTATCTTTCCGACTCCGTCTCATCTTCTGTTCTTCACTACATACTGAACCACTAGAAGAGCCGTCTCTTAAACATTCACGCTCTCCTTCAGCAGAAAGCTCTTCATTCATATTATATTCTGAATCAGTCTCATCATTCAGAATAACATTATCTGGCTCCCAGAAAAGGGTATCCACAAACTCCGGCAGTGGTTCAGCTATTATATCCAAGTCAGCCACTGGTAAAACCTGGTATCCTAGGCCCAAACCACCGTCTGTGCCTACAGAAAATTTAATTGAAGAAGGACGCCACTCGGTACCCAGAGCTCCTAGGCGGCGGCGCTGGTACGTACTCTGATATGGTTCAGGATATGGAAGCATACCTAGTATTCCCATTATCCATGTTTGGAAGAAAAAAAACATTTATTACCATCTTCTAGAAACTGACCAAAAAAGAAAAAAGAACGAATGACGAAAGCAACGAATATCTACTTGCATCACAAAGAAGATCTTGCATGTTCCTCCGATATGGAGCTAACTGTGTCTCCTGCAACAGTAAAAAATGCCTGTTGTTCATAACTTAAAAAAACTTGGAAAACTTATACAAGATGGAACAGCTGTAGGTAGCTGACAGATAGGCCCATCCATGTATTACCCAGATAAGTTTGATATGAAATTTCTCAAGTAGTAAAAACAAATGATAGAACTTAAAAGTGGTAAAGAATAAATCTTTTAACTCTCTTCGTCACAAAAACATGACCTAATTCTTTTTTTTTTTTGCATGACCTACTTTAACTATAGAGATTAACAGTAATTTTTTTGGAAAGATAACTAAACGGATTTAGATACAGTGTAACAGTTCAAACTTGGATTAATCATTTGAAAAGATTTCATACAAAGTCTTAAATAATGTCAATGATATTATTTTTAATGGGATGGGTGGAAAAAAGAATGACATCAAGGAAATAAATTTTGGAAAGGACAAAAAAGAAAAATGTGTCATAATCCTGAATTGACGGAGTGAACTAGTATGCCAAAACTAAAGGTACCTGATCAAGAACATTCCCCTGCACATCCTGGATAAGGGGCCGGTAATCCCCAAGGAAGAACTGTTGAAAGTTATAGCCTCAAGATCGCATACAGTAACTGTAAACTACTTAAAACAATGATGAGAATGAAAGAAACCGCCTCATATACCTGATCATATTTAGCATCCTTTTGAGACTCGCCTTGGCCTGTATTTAATAAATATATTTGTCCAACATCATCAGAAAGAACAATTGATGTTCCATCCCTTTTCACAAAGAAACAGCACATCCAACACAAATAAGTAACTTCGACATTTCAAATAAAGCAAAGAGCATTTGCACCAGTTAGCAAATCTAATGGGAAATGGAACTGAATGAGTAATTAATTCTGAAGCCATGATAGGATTGGTGTTCTTCTATGACCCCAAATCAGGAAGCTCTGATGATGTCTAAAATTTGAAGTACATTAAGGAATCACCATTTATATACACAAACAAACTTTATAAGTCAAATATCAAAGATACATGAAATATTATTATGTCCTCTTTAAATTACTTACTGTGAAAACTTTCCATCAACCAACTTAAAGCGTCCTATATCATATGTGCGGATGGGGATCCCCTCCCATATCTGGAGATAGAAATAGCAAGAGTTCAACAAATGGAAATACCTGTGTAAAAGGATGTGATACAATAATCAAAAGAACCAGAAACCTACATCCCACAGGATGGTTTTCCCATCATAACCAGCACTCATTGCGATTCTGGGGTTGAAAGGATGAACATCCAGAACATATGTCTGCAAGAGTCGAACACAAAGTGTCAATTACACCAGCTATAAGTTTTTCAATAGGTGTGGATGGAGTGAAGGGGTGGAGGAGTCATATTAAGAATAGTACCGGAATTGAGTGACTAACATTTTTTAAAGTTTATTATGACCAAGAAAGTGAAAATAAACCACCCTAAAGAATTGCATGACTCTTTTATAGTGCCTGACCAAGAAATTAGACAATGGTGGAAGCAAGAGAGAAAGAAATAACCAGTGAACACATGCAACGAAATGGAGCTTAAGTGGAAGTTTCTCAAAAATATCTAACCAAGATGACACGTGAAAACATATAACCAGCCTAAGCAAGCATTTTGAAAAAAAAAACTCAGAAATATCAGCCTAATCATAGTCAGATAACTTACAGACTGTGCGTGACCAGTCAAGGAGTGCACCAAGCTACCATCACTAGCATTCCAAACACAAATTCGGCAATCTGCATAAGTTCACCTTATGAGTTGAAAATCTCAAATTCAAGCACCATAATTTCTCTGCTTCAACAAAAGGAACATAATTTGAATTCAGTCATTCACAACCCCAAATGGAAGTATTTTCCTTTCTAACAGGAACCAAGAAGACCTTGATTTCAAAACCCACGAAGTTGGAGTTTGACATTCAACGAGTAGGAAGAACATGAACCAATTTTGTGTTGTTAGCCTTGCAGGTGCTTAGGAAATTCGCACTTCTACGTGTCCAGTTTGCCAGGAATTGACTAGTCGCACACATGGGAAAACAAGAAAAACACAAGATCCATTCAGATATGACTGGACCCTCGGCAATCGAGGAAATATCTGATCTAATTTCCGATACTGGGTAAGATTCACCGGCCACTAGACATAGCACATAAGCTAACAGTAGCATGAATGGAACAGGAACTATTCAACCAAGTTTCCCTGCATGTGGCTCATCCATGATAATTTCTTCGGAATTGTGTGAACTAGCGGACGATCACTAAGTGGGGATGCTTCCTAGCTCCTTTGATGAATGATGAAAATATACTGGGAAGTCAATCTACAACTTCTAAGCCATGTTAGATTCGTGCTATACTTAATAGCTCATGAGGAATAACCCTCCATAAGGCACCCCAATTATTCTCAGCTCACACCATTTTTCTACTTGCAGTAGAAAATAAGTTTCCTAAGCATTTCTTTCAAAACTTTCACATGACTGCATTATTTCTTTTTTTCTTTCAACCATGGCTGCATTACCCTGATGGGGGTAAACTTAAGCCCATGCCAGGCACCAACATGTCTTAGAATAGTATCAACTTGACATCGGTTTCCTATGTTTAAATATCTTGAAACTACCTCAAATGCACTTTAATTACAATTTACCAACCAAATATTCCAACAACTTATTACCTATTCCAACACAGACTTCTCTGGATGCAAACCAGAAAAAAGATTTAACATGAAGTTGAAGGTCATTATACAGTAGTTATGACATACTTGCTAGAACTAAAAGTTCGATAGGGTGCGTGAAAAAAGGGAAAAGTTTGGGCTTTTAAGGCAACAATAAATCTGTAACGTAAGAAAATATCCATACCACCAGTATTCGCTGTCAATATCATCCTGATTTAATTTGGTTCCATTATAACATAAATAAAATTTATTTATTAACTCATTATCAGCATGAGTTATTCACTACTGTCATGAGAAACGCCTACTAACCAGGCTTGTGAATGTGTGTCATGCCTGTTGAGCATCATCTTTAATTACTGTATAGTAGGTCAACAACAAGATGTTTCAATTCACAAAGACCAAACTATTATGGGCAAGAAATGAAACTTTCATCCCATAATCATATTTAAAATAGTTTTAACCAAATAAAAGTACAAATTAATGCATTTGAACTAAATATGCAATTAAGATAAAATACCCATGATAGCAGCCAGTACAAAGCGATTATCCAGGCTCCACACTATCATGTTAACACCGCGAGGAGTAGGGCGAAATCTCTGCCGTGGCCCTCCTCGAGGAGGCTGTGGTGGCATTGGTGGAGGAGGAACTTTAAGATGATATGCCTTACCCCAAGAACGTCCATGTTTTCCCTGAACAGATTAGAACATTAATAGTCAGAAAGAACCAGCACAGAGAAATGTCTCAATACTGTAGGTCAGTTAGACTTGGTCCCAATTTACAGATGTAACGGTGTGATGAATTAGTGTCTAACACCTCGAGTAAAGCAGAGCATACATTCTGTAGTATCCCTCTAAAAACATACAGGCATAATTTTGTGCATGTATTCATTCTCTTATTTCTCACAAAAAGAAACCAAATTTTGAAGTCAAGAACTTACATGGGACGACTTGCGTGGTTTTGGGGTCCAAATAATTGCACTTCCGTCACGGGAACAAGTGACAATGTTGTCATGGCTAAACCTGAAAATTGTGTTTTAACAAGCATGATCATTTACGCAAGTTAACACAACTTTATCCATCAAACAGGTTGACCAACCAAACTCTACTTTATGTTCAACCATGATTAACTATAGCTGATAAGAAGGATATAGTGCCATTTAAATTTTTTATTGGTATTAGGATCATTTGAAATAATTGGAACAAGGAAAAAAGATGTTCACAAACCAAGAATTCCTAAATTTAGGAATGCAGTCCTCCACAATGGAATCAGAAGTTGAAGATCGTGAAGCAACTGCACAGCCACTGCACAAAAGAATAGAAGGTTAGATAATGATGAACACGTTTAAGGGTGACAACATGACTGCACCAACCTGAACTGTACATAGTTGACATCATTTTCGTGACCAGATAATGTATCTATTTCATGATTTAGCTCCTCGGGGTGATCTGGGGAGAATTTACAAGCACTCCAGACCTGAAGACGGATAATGTTTGTGATTCCATACAATCTCATCATCCCATTAACAGAAAATACACTGAAAAGTCAAAATGCACCAAAAACTTTCACATTCTTAACATTTCTTGCATACTTCATACGGTAAACTCTATGTTTAACCGTTACTGGAAATTTCTTATTGTTAGGTTGTCAAACATGTGTTATGCCTTAAGTAAGCTAAACATTAATTAGAGGACTTTGATAAAGAAGCTCAGAACATCTCTTGTATCAGTCCGATCCTAAGAAGACTGATACAATATTACCTTACCAAAAAAAAGGTAAACTATGCTAAGAGCTTATTGACAGGAAACAAAAAAATCTCATATCCCTGCTATCTTATAATGAAGATTTGACAATGTTATAATAGAGCATAACGTTTGATGCTTGTCCATACCCTTGCTAAAGTATCAGAGCTGCCAGTGACAAAGACAGTTCCATTGGCATTGTATGCACAACACAAAATTTGATGGCTATGCGATGTATTACTTGAGGACTGAAGGTTGGTTGCTGCGGTACCACTGCTCCTCACTGCATAAAAATAAAATCCACACAGAGACTCGCCAACTAACAGCACAAACATTATCAGACAAATAACTTGTTCTCAGCTAACCTGAAACGTTATCCTTTGGTCTTGGCGAGTAAACACGTGGAACACATTGAGAAGACCTAGCATCCCAAATGCGACAAGTTCCATCATCTGAGGACCTACCAGTAGGAAACAAAAACCCGAGGGAAGGAAGTCACACATTTATAAAGCAAGTTACCATAAACCCCATAATACTTAGCAAGAAACTTTAACAGACACGAAAATAGATAAAAATGATTTCTGTTAATTGTACAACCTAGTGTAAAATCTTTACTAGGTTTCTTGTATTTTAACCCTCTTTATTCTTTGTACACCTTAGTCTAAGGCTTCCATATCTTCATCTAATGCTTTGAGTTGGCCACTAACTCAAAGGAAGTTTTATAGAGGAATTAAAAAATAAATTATAAGAAAAAACTTAGTACATTTATCTTTTGCTTTAAGCCTTTAACATAAATATAAAAACATGCACGACCAGCACACAACTTCACATAATATGTTCAAGAGTCTCTTAAAACGAAAAATTGTGATGTAAGATTTCCACTATTATGAAGAGCAAACAGCTATATATAGTGGCAATATACCATAACCAGACAAGAGCACAATTTTGTGTAATATTTTAGGAGCCATTTGCGATCAATTGAAACCTGTGTATAGGTGTCTCTATAATTATCGAATATACAAAGTACCACATGGTAAAAGAGGAAATAAGGTAATGACTACAAGACCTTGCTGTGGAGCATGTTCAGAGTGGAAAGGATGAGCCTGCGGGAGGGGCTTATAGGATCTAACACCTGAAGGAAGAGAAGGAGAAGTAGAGCAAGCGAAGTAGCTCCTTTTTTGCTTTCCACATAAGTGAACGTAAAAGTGAGAAACGGGAGAGCATCTGAAGAAGTAGAATACTCTTTTGTATAGATATTTGATGAAGTATTCAAAAATGTAGAGGCATCTGAATGCACAAGGATAATTGCAGATAGTCCTTGTGCCAGAATCTTCTCCCCATTTCATTCTGGGGATATAGATTAGTGGAACATTTTTATTTTTGCATATTTTTGGAGTGTTGTTGATAATCAAGTCATTGTTGATTCTTTTTCATGCAGTTATTGCTGATGACTAGATGAATTTGTAGAGAATCATGATTTGTTGTAAGATTCTCTACCTTTTGTACACACCTCGTAAGCAGTATTTGCCATCACATCACTAAAATTTGAACTATAATCTCATAGAACAGGGACAACAAAAGAATATAAAACCACTCACAAAAAGAACAATAAATTTAAATCCTAGAATAACTAGCTTACTAATATACTATAGGTACAGAGCACCTAGTTCCCATCAAATTACAGGTATGGATTAGACCACAAATTTTCCTTCAATTTCTTCTGCTATCATGTTAGCTTCTTCTATGATATTACTCCCTCCCTCCAAAATACATGGCCTAATTTGATCCAATGTAGAGATCTCAAGAAAATGTTTGAAAAGATTATTAAACCAGTGTATCAAATAATGGTCCTCATAAAAATTGTTTGAAATGTGAAAAAACTAAAAGGTGAAGCAATTAAAAATAAAAAAAGATCAGCATAGGCCTGTTGTTTTTCCACTTATCTTTTTTTTTTAATTATGATGGTGTCCCATCTTGCACGCACCTCGACTATTCTACCAAGTACCTGCTACCTCACATCAGCATAGGTTGTACCAGATAGATCTGTCCACCACGATTACAGATGTGAAGAAACACATTTTATGGTTTTCGTTCTCCACTATCTATTGACTTCAAAGATATCCCAACTAAAGGTCATGATCAAATATCTTTAGCCCAACTCTCAGAACAAGATACATATTGGGAGATTATTGACTGAATTAGACTGTGTACCAATGACAAAGAAACTGGTCCTGATGGGTTTCCAATGAGCTTCTACCAATCCTTTTGGGATCTGGTCAAGGTAGATATCATGAATACCTTACATCACTTCCATTCTCATCCTGTGTGTGAAAAGAGCTTCAATGCTACTTAGAGGGTGTTAGGATTAACTTCTTTTAAGTGTTTTTTGGCTTTTAAGCTCTTTTCTTATTTTTTGTGGTGTTTGGGAAAGATAAAAAGTGCTTTTAAGCACATACTTTTAGGTCAAAAAGTATAAAATTAAGCTAAAAGACAAAAAAATGGATATTCTGAGCTGATGGTTTTTAGCTTTTAGCATATAAGCTACTTTTAAAAAGTTAATCCAAACACCCTCTTACATTCCCCTCATACCTAAGAAGATAGGAGCTTCAGAACTCAGGGACTTCAAACCTATTAGCCTCATAAGTGGAGTCCAAAAGATCATTGCTAAATTATTGGCAGAAAGATTGAAAAAAGCAGTGTGTAAACAGGTTAACAACCATCAGATGCCATTCTTCAAAGAAAGACAGATTACATATACTCCTCTTATAGGTGTTATGAGCAAAGTAGACATAGAAAAGGCTTTTGACCATGTCAACTGGGATTCTCAAACAGATGGGCTTTGGTGTGAGGTGGTTGAAATGGATTGGACTTTGTATCAAAATAGCCAGGTTCCTGATTCTGGTAAATGGAGAACCTATTGGTTTTTTTCCTTCTTAAAGAGGACTGAGACAAGGTGACCCTCTTTCACCTTTCCTTTTCACTATTGACATGGAAGGCTTCAACAGCATGATGAGAATTGCAGTCCAGAAGAAATGGTTGAATGGCTTCGGGATAGGCAACAGGTTGGGTGAAGACATGGAAATTTGTCACTTACTCTATGTTGATAACACTGTCATCTTCTGTGATGTTGCATTTGAACAAAATTGCTACATCAGGATGATTCTCTTAGCATTTGAGGCTACTTTTGGACTCTGTGTAAATTCGAGAACGAGTGCTCATTCCCCATCAATGAGGTGACACATATGGAGGGACTGGTTAGCATTCTGGGATGTAGGATAGATCATGACTTACCAACAACCTACTTGGGCATGCCTTTGGGCAATGAGCACAAGGAGTTAGAAATATGGGACAGGATAGTGGGAAAAATAGAGAAGAAGCTCTCAAAATGGAAATTGCAATACCTTTCATTAGGAGGAATATTAACTCTGATAAGCTCTGTTCTGGACTCACTGCCAACACATGTCATGTATTTATTCCCAATCCCTTCTAAGGTGGAAGAAAAGTTAGACAAATTAAGAAGAAATTTTTTGCGGTTGGGAAACAAGGAAGGCAAGGGTTACCATCTGGTCAAACAGAAGACTGTTCAACTAAACAAAGAAACTGGTGATCCAGGCATCTGGAACCTGGCACTTCATAATGAGTACCTAATGATGAAATGGTTATGGAGATTTGTTGACGAGGAGCAAGCACTTTGGAAGGAGGTCATCCAGTCTAAGTATGGGCAAATCAGTCACTGGTGGTGACAACTACATATAGTGTCTCAATATGGAAGTCCATCAAGGCCCTATGGTTTTTCAGATCATTTTGCTACAAGATTGGTAATGGCAACAAAATTTCCCTTTGGAGGGATACCTGGAATGGTCAGGAGTCCTTGATGAATTCCTATCTAGCTTTGTTCTCTTTATACAGCAATCGTAACAATTGGTCCCCTCAAGGGTGGAATATCTGTTTCAGAAGGCATCTAAATGACTGGGAGGTAGATATGCCGGCCAGGATGGCAAGGATGCTCCAAGACATTGGTAGTTTCAAAGGTATCAATGTGAGCCCTGATACTATCATCTGGAAACATGGGAAAGATGTCAAATTCACTGTAAACAAGCTATACAGGAAGAGTATACTGAAGAATCCAGGTTGCTAGATAGGGCCATTGAGGCAGGTTCGGAATAATCGAACTCCAACATAAATTTTGTGCTTCCCTTGGCAGGTGACCAGGAAAGCTTGTCTGACACATGAGAGTCTAAAAAGAAGGGGGGTGCAATTTGCATCCAAATGTTTCTTGGGCAATAAACAGAGGAGACAAACAGCCACATTTTCTTACACTGCAAAGTCACTTCTCAGCTTTGGTCCATCTTCTTTAGTCTCACACAAACCCAGTGGTCAGTGCCAGAGCATACAGCAGACCTTCTGAGCTGCTGGATCAGGAGAGGGGGAAGCAAAAATCAAACGAAATGGTGGAGAATAATCCCAGTATGCATATGGTGATGGACAGTGTGGAGAGAGAGAAATGTGAGATGCTTTGAGGATAAATTTGTGGAACTGCATCACAACCCATTATTTTTAGTGTAAAGGAGAACTTGTAATGATGAATTCAAATAGTAGTTTTGTTAGGCTCATTGTAATTAGCATTTTGGTCACAATTTTTGGAGGTTGCCAGCATAACATACCATTAATGCTGAAGAATACAACATTACCAGTTCTTTTTTTTTTTTTTAAATCAAAAGGGGAAAGCCGAACCAAATATTTATTTCATGAGGAAACAAGTTGAGTACCAACTCACATTGAGATGGAAGCTCCTAAGGTTCTACCAAACACAAGACACGCCAAATAGTAAAGCAAGGGGACATAGCATGGCTACTACGTAAAAGGGTCAATTAGTTGGTTTTACTAAATCGCCTCAGTGAAACAATCTAAACATCCAACCCCAGACGTCAATACAACATGTAGAGTGGATCAAAATATTATGAATTTATTTGGGAACCCTTAAATAAACAATGACAAGTGTGTTCTCTAACATCCTCGCACACGTGTAACCCATTCTAGCTATATGCGTGGATTGTAGACTTCTTTTTTTCCTTTTTTTGTCTTTAATAGGCACAACAAGTTGCGGAGTGGATGTAGAGGCTAGAGCAAAGTTATTGGCGCAGCTGAATTGAGAGAAAGTGCAGGAATCCTAGAGGGACTCGATGGGCTGAGTAGAGAAAGATGTTTCGAGCAATACAGAAGGTAGAGATTCTGATATGATAGATGTCACAGGACCCTTCTAATAGGAGATAGAATATAGCTATGATTTTTTTGCTCTTTTGAAATCGGTATAGATGGCCCTAGCACAGCCTGTGTGCTACTTATAAAACATGCTACCATTCTCAAAAATACGAGGTAGAGTGATGATGGTAATAGAGTAGGTAGAGAGCAATTTCCTTGGAGACTCTTGTACATCCAATGAGGGACAAGTCTGTTTCCTAACAACCTCCATTTTCTCAAGGGTGGACCAGAATGGACCACAATCAGTTTAGTACAAGGTTCCACAGAAGTTCTGGAGATGCTAAAATTCAAGAAAAAAATTAATATTACCATGAAAGGACAAGGAAGCAAATAAACATATAACGTGAAAGGGACACTGGAGGTAGGGCATGATGATCCTGGTGAAAAACTGGGAGGAAGTCCCGTACCAGTTAAATTTCAACATGAGGAATGATATTCAAGAAGGTAGGGAAGTGACAAGAGGGGGTTGCTCAGATGGTAAACACCCTCCATCTTCAAACTTTAGGTTGTGGGTTCGAGTCACCAAGGGAGCAACAAAAAGCAGGAGCATCTAGGGAGGGGTAAAAAAAGGGTAGGGAAGCTTATCGCTTGGTGATGTCCACTTCAGTTAAGAAGACTGATTATGATGAAGCAACAAAAACTTTAAAACACAGCAATTTGGATGCCGAAACCATATAGACAAAGGTGGAAGGGTACACAATGCCTCACCATAGATAATATCAGATACGTCAAAAGGCAGATTTGGAATGCCAAAGAGCTAAAGCTTTTGTTGATTTTCGGGAGTGAAAAGTTGGAGCCAGTGAAGAGAAGAAATGGAGCTGTTTATGTCAACTGAAGGATATATAACCTCTCTCTTAAACAGAGTGCTATTCTTTTTACATTTTCTACCTCAAGACAGATGGTATCACACAAATTGCTAGAATAGCTTTTACAGATGTATTGTCACTAATTAATTGACTACATGAGGAAAAAGACAACATTCATTGAAAAAGGATTCATTAGACAAACAAAACTAGCAAAAAGGGGTGAGATTGAGGCATCGAATGAAGTTCATTTCTAAGTTTAAGGGGCCACTTGGCCATGCAATTTGGATTTGAAATTTGAAGGTTTTGGTTTAAAATTTGTGTTTGTTTATGACATTTGAACAAAACTCCAACTTCATTTTGAATTTTGATTTCAAATTCACCTAAAAGGCTTCAATTGCTCTTAAATTAAAACCTGACCCATAAGCTTATATTTTGCAAATAAAGACCCATACTTTAAATTTTGTCAAAAAAGACTCATGATCGATGTAAAGAGATTGTTTGTACCATGTGGTAAAATTATAATAAAGAATAGCTAGTAACTAATATTAATTTATTTATGAGTTAGTTGTCAAAACCACACCTGATCTATCACATTTACGCGAGTTTCACACCTCAACTATCAATTGTTCCCTTTTCGTACTCGGACTATCTCCATCTATTCTTTTTCCTACTTGAACTATGACCTATGCATTAGAACAACCTCAAATCTGACTAGGCCAACTATTACTTGTTTCTTTTCCTACATGAACTATCATATTCATGTCCAAACACCTACTAAATATTAATTGTAAAACTAGAAAGATACAAAACCACAATCACCCATGCAGCAGTCGTGTCTCAGAGTACAAAGATACTCCACAAATTTTGTTTTTTTGGCAACTTTTAAAAATGTAAGATCCACCGAAGTGGGTAGCCTTAACCGGATGTGTCTGGTAACAGGTAAAGCCCCAAGGCGTTTCCCATCCCTGTCGGGGGAGATGCCAACCATCTATCCTTTCTAGAACACTCCATAAGCCACATTTAATCTGTATGGCTTAATCAAATAGGGCTAAATCTCTTACACATAATAATGCATCATGTCCCTTCAAAGAGAAAGGAGCAACAATAAGGATCAAGGCTTAAAGGTAGCTTACGATAGAAGCTGATACACAGAGCTAGTTTTTGGAGTAAATGCGATGGCAGTAACAGCTCCAGTGTGACCACGCAAAACTGAAATAGGTAATCCATCTGGCAAGCGCCACTGAAGTACAGAGAAAGTAGATAAGCTGCTCACTCTTCAACAGAGGAGATCTTCAAGCCCAAAATTATAACTCTTCAAAGAAAGCAAGAAGATATCTCTGTCAAGTGGTAGGAGAATCTTACAACTCGAATGCTGTAGTCATTTGATGCAGATGCCACCAAAGCATTGTTTGAACTGACAGCTAAATCAGTGATGTCACCCTATTAGCATGACAAGCAAATAAGTGTACAAACGAAGAGTAACTATTCATAAGGAAGAGTTAAAATTGAGGACACTATTGGGAGCATATCTCAATGAACTTACTTCATGTCCTCGGCAACTAGCCAGGCATAATCCAGTTTCCATTGACCAAACCTTGACGAGGCGATCATCAGAACCAGTAATCACATATCTTCCTGAGCGATCAAATATTGCTACACAACAGAGAATAGGCAGAGAAATTGAGCTGAAGGTTCGCATGTCTTCTTGACAGACAACCCTTTATATCTCTAATTGAGCTGAAGGTTCGCATGTCTTCTTGACAGACAACCCTTTATATCTCTAATATGATAAACCTTAAAAGCTATTGAATGTAGCTACGATTTAAGAAAAAAGAAACAGCTACCTTTACTATTAGTGGCATTCAATTTCTGGAATATTAGGTATAGCTGAAAAAGTGTGTTTTATTGAGCATAAATGAAATCCCTGAACGAGAACCCATTTTGAGAGAAGAACTTTTAAGTGCCTATATACAATAAGAGTTTTAAAGTTGTACCACAATAAACAGCATCCCTATGTCCCCTTAGTTTCTTTATGTTTTGCATCTTTTGGACCATAGTTGACGGCTTTGCAACAGCATAACTTGCAAGACGGATAGATGGAGCACGATGATGTTTTGGGAAACCTCCTCCAATCTCTCTTAAAGTTAGACCATGCACCTGATTAGCCGGCATGTGTGGCCAACGGAGGTATGAAGGAAGGGATTGTGCTTGCTTATTGACTCTATTTCGCTCACCTGTTCATCACATATTCAAACTTAGACAAACAGAAAACCTAAAGTGGCAACAGAATGTATATGTCATGCTACTTAAGAGAGACAACATAAAAGGGAGAGGGACAATGTGCACAAGAGATCACAGTGCAAATGACCAAACAAGGGATGTTTGTGAAGAATTCGTAGTATGGAAGGCTTTCCTGGATAACTTTGCTCACTTGAACAAACTGATGAAAGGAATCATTCACGATCAAAGATGCAGAATACATGCCAAAGAGTTTTTAAAAAGTACCTGTAAGCTGTTTTCGCCTTTCAGTGAGACGCCTTATAAAGCCAAAGAAAGGCACAAATTCAAATGCAATACAATCCTCAAAATGCTACTCAGTAAATTGTGGCTTCTTTTTTTTTTGGTTAAAATACCACCAAAGATATAGTTTAAGTGATAGTGTATGTCAGTTTAAGAGTAGAGAGATAAAGTTAATCTTGTAATATGCTTGGATTCCTGTTAGTTCACTATCTGGTGACATGATATTGGAGAATTGTTGAGTAGTACAGGGAAAAGGTTTATGTAACTTTTGGCCAAAACGAGTACCAAAGCTATAGTAGTGCACAAGCCAGAACAGAGAGTAGGAAAAATAATCAAGGACAAAAGGAGTCGGTTTAAACCAAAAAAACAAAAAAGGAAAAAGAGAAATTGAGACATGCGAGGTCAATTTCCAAGAGAATATATATTAGATCTTAGACCTCATAAGACTACTTACAAGTCAAAAGAGAAAAAGGCCCAGATCCAAGTAGCGTGGGGACATCAGCAGCACCAGGGGAATCTCCCCCACCACATTGCAAAGGAGGACCCGAATTCAGCAGCAGTTGTTTAAGCAACTTTACTAAGTGATCTTTTTCAACATGAGGATACCTATCATCAGCAAACTAAAGGTTTAAACAACACAAGGAATCAAGAATATCAATTAACTATTTAAGCAGAAACAGATGGATATTGTGGCATGTTAACCAGGTCAACTTTCCCAGGAGCCCAGCAACCATTTTGAAAGCATCATTAAATATAAATAATTCAATTATAAATAAGCAAAAGGTTCTAGTGAGAAGGAATTATATAGTATAATAGAAAAGTGACAAATAATTGATTTTTTGGTTATAACAAAGAACTCATAATTGAGTCTTTAAAAGAAAGTTTAAAATCTATAGGACTCGATCAGAATAGCTTGACATTCTTTTCCAGAATTAAATTAATCATATATTTACATAAATTCATAAAAGAATTGAATAGATGTATCCAGGGAGATTTCTCTTTGAAGCAACTATTTCCTAGATCACATGTCGTCTTATTTCACAACTGAATCAATCTAAAACTTAAAGCGGAACAACTTCACATAAAGTGGGGCAGAGAGGACACAGGTTTCCCATATCTATTATTCTGTGGATCGAAAGATCCCCCAAAGAAGGTATACAAAGCTTGCTCAATACAACATGTTTGGACCTGATCTATTCTAAGTTGTCTCAGATGACAGATATGACAGTGATGAGGTTCAGTCGCATCACTGATGAGACTGGAGCTCAAAGCAAACACCAGCACACAAAAGTGCAGCAGACATATCTAATTTCAACAAGAAGAAAAACATGAAATATGTTTACAAGGCACACCTTAGGATCAGATCATCATAATTTAGAGGGAAAGAAATGTCATCGTCATCATCATCTCCACTGAGTACACCTTTTCTTGAATACCAAGCATGATATCTCCTAGGCAGAAGCTCATGTTCCAAAAGTTCATCACAGAATATTCCAAACGTTTTTCGGCACGGCCCAGATGACAAAAAATGCATAATCAGAAAATAAACTTCTCTGAGGTCAATATTTACATCCTTTATTGTGGCATGTTCAGCAAATCTCTCTTCTTCTTCGAAGAGAGATTTTGTGTATACCCTATTCAGGAAGCTTGTATGTGCCATATTTGATGATGAAGCACCATTTCTAGATGTACACTTCCCTGAATCCATCCTTTGTTAGCAAATAAACTCCCCACACTGAGTATTCCTCTTCAAAGAGCGAGATCCATGAATCTACATTCTCAAAAACTGAAATTAGAAAGCATACTCAATCATTTGCTAGGAAGTAAATGCAGAACTTCTCATAATTCATTAACACTTCATGAAACATATTCTAACCACCATGAACAAGCGCGCACAAAGGTCACTACACAAGGTCAAAGAACTTAGATATGATTCTTCCAAACATGTTATTGTAATGCAACAAAAATATGTGACAATAATAACAAGAAAGCCCCCCCCCCTCCCCCCCTCCCTCCTCTTTCATTTCAGCTTCCCGTTACAACTGCATGGAAGTTATAGGACAAAAGTCAAGTGGCTAATTACAAGTATCACACAACAAAATTAACACATGTGTGCACACTAGCAGTAAGTAAAAATGGTGAAGTCAGAATTGGGGCAAACAAACTAGTAAAACTCTTTAACTATTTCAAACCTATTTCAGGGGTATAGAAAAAAGGGAAAAGGGTAAAATTTACCCCTCTACTTTATTATACTGTTCAACTCTATCCTCCGTTATACTATCTTGCTAATATTACCCTCGAAGTTATGGAACTTATCAGATTTAACACCCCCACCCCCAAATTAACAGTTTCTTCCAATCTGGCCAAAATTACCCAATTAAATCCACGACCCACAGCCCACCAGACCCACATCAAATCACAACAAAAACTGAAAGTCTGAAACAAATCAGTCCCAGAATTGGACCAAACAGTCCCTAAATTGGACCAAGGCATTAGCAAAAAAATTGAACAAATCTCAACCAAAACTACACCAAAATCACAACCAAAAAATGAACCAAATTAGTCAAATTAGAATAAATGTGCTTTTGAATTTAATTTGCTTCAATTCTCAGCATTTAAAGAGGAAAAGCTTCCTAAGTTGATCTTCTTGGTTTTGAATTACAGTTGCATCTTTTACTATGAAATTCCTGCTGCAATCTTACTTCCTCAATAGATGTGAATTATTGCCCACTGTCCTGAAACCTCTCTGTGATTTGGTGAGCATATGAACCTCAACAATCTATGACACTCGATCAGCTTTTGTTTCTACTGCAAGAACAGGTATTCTAGTGGCTTGGAAATGGGGGAGGGGCTCTCTGTTCTGGGTTGAAGCCAGTGGCTATGGAGTTAGCTGGCGATATTTTTTCCAGAGGTCATGGGATTCACGACTGAGTTGCGGGTGGTTCATGGATCTGTACAGGAATGTGATATATGGAAGAAAGGGCATTCACATGATGGTGTTAGGGTGGTGATTGACGGTGGTGTTTGGTGGCAGAGTGGTGTACGGTGAGGCGAGGGCGACTGAAGGTGGTGCTCCATTTTTTACCAAAAATCTGCCTTCCCAGTGACCTCACCCTCCGTGTATCTGAGCATCGTCTCCTTCTATCCAGTGAATGTTCTCTAAATGCTTGGATCTAATCCTTGATAAGAAGGAAAAATGAAAACCTCCCCTCTATTGTGTGCCATCTATCCAAAATCCTCTCTGTGATTTGGTGTCGGTCTGGTGGGTCAAACTGGGTGATTTTGGCCAGATAGGGGAAATCGTTAGTTTGGGGGTACATCTGATAAGCTTCATAAAAGCGAAGGTAATACTGGCCAGATAGTATAACGGAGGATAAAGTTGAACAATATAATAAAGTAGAGCAGTAAATTTGACCCATTGCCCTAGAAAAAAGTTAACCTGCAAGAATTTTAGGATTTGTATGAGACTTCAACCAACAACCCTAAGTAGGGAAGTATGTCGCCAACAAGTTAATGCATGAGTTCAAACATTTTATCATTCAACGAATGCAAAAAAAGGGGGAGGGAGAAGAAACGAGAAGAGGTGCACAAAGCATGTTACATCAAATTAACAGGAAAATATTTTAGAACTATGCATGATATTTCCTTAACAGGTACTAGTGCATATTCATTTTGATTAATCCTCCCTCTGTTTCAAAAAGAATATCCCAATTTCCTTTTAGTATGCTTCAAAAAGAATAACCCCTTTCCTTTTTTGGCAACAATTTAACTTTAACTTTCCACGTGGCATGTTTAAGGCTACAAGATTAAAGGGAATTTTGGTACATTTGACATAACTTTGATTTAGAACCACAAGATTAAAAAGTCTTCTTTCTTTTCTTAAACTCCGTTCCAAGTCAAATTAGGCCATTCTTTTTTAAACGGAGGGAGTATAATAGTTTAACATTTGTAGTTCCAAATTGCAGAGGAATAGCTTAGTTCTTCTTTGTTCCGATAACCAAAAAATTCCGAAGGGTCACTGATGCACGGTTCGAAACTCAGTGATAAACTGATAATGGGTCCACCTCTCTATCATTTTCCACTTAATTACTAGGTTTTGTCTACAATGGGGTTCAAACCTATGGATGTGTGCCTAACCGATACATTACAAGTTGTGCTTTAACCACTGCACCAAACCCTGGGACATTAGCTTGGCAATTTCTAACCACATAAGAACTCTTTCTTGGTTAAGAGGGAGGAAGGCTCTCCATGTTTCTCTCAGTGCAGTAGTCACTCAAGAACATGTATGTCTGCATCATCCTAATTATGGACAATCCTCAGTAACACAACTTCTCACCAACCAAATAAGGAAATAGATAACTGGTCCACTCTCCAATGGAAAAATTTACTCTAAAAGTTCAATCCACATTGTACACAAAAAGTGGGGAAAAAAATCTAGAATAACATGCAATATGACAAGAGGGAGTTGCTAGGATGGTAAGCACCCCTCACTTCCAACCTTAAAAGAGGACTTAGAAGTTCTGCAATTCCGATTTAGGGAAGTGCACGTGTACATTTATACTTAGTTGATGGTCGTTCATGCATTTCAGTATCAACCTTGTACAAATACCAAGGTGGAATTTCAGATCTCCTTTCAGGAAACCTCCATAAATCACCACCACAATTGGTATCATAAGGAAAAATGAGACTAATGCAGGTATAAATTGAAGAAAATGTGCTTAACAAGAAAAGCTATTAACATTGTAGGCACATAAAAGCAGGTCACTGAGCATGCCCTCGCGTCCTCGCCATAGTCGGCCATAAAATTTGTCTGAGACAAAAAATCAATTTTGACTCAATTAGAGCGTAATTGTGAACATGCATACAACAACTCAGTGTTTTGAGATTACAACAACAACATACCCAGTGAAATCCCACAAGTGTGGTTTGGGAAGGGTAGAGTATACACAGACCTTACCTCTCCCTTGTGGAGATAGAGAGGTTGTTTCTGGAGGACCCTTGGCTTGAGTACAGCAAATCAAAGTAGGTATGAAAGGGAAAATAAAAACGACAGTGAAGAAAATATAGCTATTAGTCAAGGGAACACAGTAACAACAACAAAATAGTGTGATAACCAAAACACAATAAACACAAATGATGATAGAAACCAAAAGCGATACACTACAAGAAAGGCTAGAATTATGACAGACAATACACTACTACCTACTAACCTTCTTCCCTAATCCACGACCTCCACGCTCTCCTATCTAAGGTCATGCCCTCGGTAAGTAGAAGTTGTATCATGTCTTGTCTAATCACCTATCCCCAGTACTTTTTTGTCTACCTCTACCTCTCCTCATACCCACTATATCCTCAAGATTAACCACTTCTATTACATCCTTAGCCCCCCTGAAGACTTCTTACAGAAGCAGTCAGTAACTTGGTAGAAATAGATCACAACAAAAACAGAACAATTGATGACTCGCTTTTGTTCAATTATAAAAAAATAAGCACTTTGATGAAGATTTATAACATCATTCAAATATATACAGATTAAGATTGTAGAAACATGAGCTTGTGATATAGCTTATTACAGACACTTCGTTCGAAAAGCACCACATGCTGATACGGACAACCTAATCATTTTCTGATAATTTGAGCTCAATGATCCACCATAGTTAAAGTACCAATATAAAAACAAAAAATTGATCCGCCATAGTTGAAGTACAAAAATATGATGAGATATGTACTTTCTCCTAGTCTTTTTATAACTTTTTCCTCTTATTTTTCCTTTTGACTTTATTGTTTATCATCTAATGGTGGTTTCGCACAAATTCAGTTACTTAACCTACTGTAGCTCATGAATAAATTGACTCACTAGAACTGAGTTGAGAACCATGAGGTCTCAAGTTCAATTCTTAGTGGAGGCAAAAATACAAGATTATTTCAAGAGAACAGTATTTTTTCCTATTTTACCCTTAACATTAACTACTCTTCCCCAAATTATTTCCTAAGTCCATTGAGACTTAATTTGGGTATTATGATAAATGTGCACTTCATTTATTATTTCTTAAGGGGAGTGCAAAGTCCATTATGGACAAGTAAAAGTGCACATAGAGAGTAACTGTAATATGTGCAACTATTGTTCCCATACATTTGATCACTACTAATTCTGGAGGACATTATTAAAATTGTAAGTTTCCTTTTGCTTAGTGTCGTTAATACTTCGTGCAAGAACCTGATCTCTTCCCTGGGATAATATGGCAAGGTTGAATGTGCTTGTCACACACTTTGGCTCCACCAAAAGGTATATAGAAATTAGGCAAGTTGAGGTAATTATTAAACTACTTTGCTGTCAAAATAAGATTGTTAGCATTGTTCTTGTTTAAACTTCAAATGGTACAGACATTGGGAGCCAAACAACAATTAGCGCTTGCTCTGACACCTTTATTGGACTGAACAAAGCAGGACAGAAGACTATTTTGGTAAAATGTTTTACAATATAAAAATTACCCAAGAGGAAGGGATGGGATAGCAATCAGACATGGCATTTTATTTTACGTCCTTCCTTTTTCTCCTTTTCATACATTTCATATAAGTACTGGACAAAGGATATCAGTACCACTACAAATCCCCTCACTGTGTCCGCCTTGGGATCATAATCTAGGGTTATTTACTTATTTTCCATAACCATTAACAGCCAAAAGATTTGCAAACATTAACATCTTACGCATTTAATAAACCTCAACAAAGTTTTATGGAGAGAAATTAAATTCCTTTTTAATTACTAAACCACGAAGAATCATCTTTTGAAAATGTAACACATCAAGAAACTGCTTGATATTTTCTAGAAATATTTCAAGTCCCAGTTTAAACTCAATAAATTAATACTACAAATACCGTAAGCTATAAAAGAATCCCTCAAAAAAGTGAGGTATCACAAGTGAATGACAAGATGAGGAGGAGGACACAAGAGAAAAGATAGCAATTCAACTACAGCAACAACATAAGTGATGCAATCAATCAAATGACCAATTGATAAATGATCAATGTCCTTATCCCATGCAGATTGATTGACTATATATGCACGGGCAGAGCTAGGAGCAGAAGGGGTTTATCCGAATCCCCTGTGCTGAAAAAGTACATTGTCTATATAAGGTAAAAATTAACTTTATGTCATATATAGTAGACATTGAATCCCCTTGACTTTACTTATTCATATTTTAGGATCCCCTTAATGAAAATCCCTAGCTCTGCCACTAGTCGACCCATTTCATTCCAATTATGAATTCATGATCAATAATTTGTCGTTTAAGGCAAGTTAGGTTTCTCTATAGATTCTCTAAATCTCACACTTATTCATAAATTAACATGCCATTCTGTAACTAGACTATACATGACATGCATGCCTAGTGATATATAACATCAAGAATCTTCTAAACACAAATAATAAATCTACCAAAAACTCAAAGCCCAGTCAAGTGGGGTTTTCTTAATAACTTTTCAAGTAAGAAAATCTCTTTTCTTCTTCCCCAAGTTTAATTTTTTTTCCACCATTAAAGAAAATAAGCATGAATTGAAAGACCCAATGTTAGCAAAGTGAAAAAGGAAAAAAAGACATAGTTTTTATGATTGACCTGGTGAAAAAATAGGGCAAGATTATTCCGACCAGAGCTAATGAGCTAAAAGGGTTTTCCGGTTGTTGCTGTAAATTGATTGAGATGCAGATGCAGATGTTTGCTCTCCCACAGCCTTCGAAAATGGAAAGTTAGCTCCTTTTGGGGACAAAGAGGGAGAAAAGATTTTGTTAATAAGAAAAAAAAATAGAAGAGACAATTGTTTGTAG